TCACTCAAAGAACCAATACAATTTTAAATGAAGAAAAGTATTTCTAAATTTATAGGGGCATTTTGGATTTCAATTGGATGCTTTTACACCATTTAAGGTGGGAAAAGCAATTTCCCAAATTTTTCTAAAATAATATTTTGGGCCAGTTCAGCCCATTACCCAGTTCCATTTCATGACATAACCGCGTCCTCTTCTCGTTTTTATTTGGGGGAACAGCCTGGTTTGAATTTTGCTTGCACAGCGAAACAAACCCCTCCAATTACATCTATACCCATAGCAGTTCCACCCGCATCCACTCTCTCCTTGTTAACTGCAACGAGGACATAATCGAAATTTCAACTTACCCATCAAAATCATCACCGTTACCGTAGCAAAACCACCACCGGAGCCAAAATCCTCATTCTCCTCCATTTCCCTCTCTCTATTCTTCGCTTCCCAAATCAGATCCGAGCAAACCCTAACCCTAATATCCATTGCAATTTCACAATTCGATTCGAAGATTGTAAATCGACATGGGCGATTTCAACCTCGCCCTCGTAATCGTAGCGATAGTTGTATGCGTGATCGTGTTCCTCGTCAATGTATACCTGCTCGTAAACTACCAGCATCCCGATGATGTTAACCAGGCTTACTTTCCTAAATTCGTCGTCGTTTTGGGGCTTTCGGTTGCCGCAATCTCCATTCTCATGCTTCCGGCCGATGTGGCAAATCGGCAAGCTTGCCGGCACGCGATTTATAATGGCGCGTGTAACCTCACGCTCCCGATGAAAGATTTGTGGCTCGCTATTTATGTAATCGACGCTATCCTTGTCTTCTTCATTATTCCTTTTGCAATGTTCTACTATGAAGGCGACCAGGACAAGTAGGTAGTTTTGTGTGTGTGTGTGTGTGAAGGAATGAGAAAACGTTTTTTTTTTTCTTTTTTGATTTTGGATTTAAAGTTTTGGGTGTTTATGGAATTTGTTTGCAGGAGTATTGGTAAAAGGATTAAGAGTGCACTGTGCTGGGTGGTGACGACGGCTGTAGTGTGCGCTCTCGTTCTGGGTATTTTGTATGGTATGGATGCTATGAACTTTTGTTTAATTTGAACTATGTGTCTGTATTTTAGGGTTGATTTGTTCTTTATGTGTTAGTTGAAGTGTATTTTCAAGGACAGATAGGTTAATGTGAACCCTGAATGGATTTGTTTGATGTTCATTTGGTGTAGTACAGTACAGTCTCTTAATATGTAAAGAAAGGACAGAGTTTGGGTAATTAATGCATTTGGGTTAACAATTGGAACTAGAGGTTGATTGAGATTTGTCATATTCTCTGGGGCTTTTTCTGCGAAGTACATCTTGGAGGGTTTATGCATTGCAGGCAGGAGAGCAGCAGGTATTTCAGAGTTTATGTGAGTGACAATGTGTTAGGTTTTGTATAGTGAAGGAGTATTGGTCTAGAAGAATCATTGGAAGTGTGAAGCTTTTGTGTGTTTAGTTTAGATGCTAATATTGGGTGTTGGAGAATAGATTGGATTTGTTTCATAGTTATTTAAGTACATTTGCCTCTTAATTTGAGAAATAAATATTTTTTGGGCATGCTAGTAAATCGGAAGCAGAGAAAGAGTGGAGATTATTTTTGATTTTATGCACGTTTAAGGAAAGTGCTTCTTAGTACATTGTCATGATTTATAAGTAATGTTTGATGATGGAATTAGAACTTCTTAGTACATTGTCATGATTTATAAGTAATGTTTGATGATGGAATAAGAACGGGAGTGGATTTTTCATTAATGGGAGGTGTGGTGGCTTTCTCATAAGACTGGAATAATTCTTGACATTGGTGAAGGTAAAGAAAGAAGAAAACTGGGGGGAAGAATTCACAAACAGCAACAACAATCAACGAAAGCTTTTCCCAGAAGGAGAAAACAGCTATTGAAAATTTCTACTTAAAAAATCTGTTTTCTTTCCCAATGCTCCTTTGTTCTTAATATAGCTGGAGTTAGAAACCAAACAAATACTTATAGGCCTTTCTGCATCATAAAAAAATGACGGATAGGCATCTTAAAAGTCATTTCAGATTCAAGAAAGAAACAATACAATGCACCCATAATTTAGAGTAAATATTTCAAATCTGCTGTGGTTTAATGTGAATTTTGTTTGATTGTGCTTTTATTGTGTGATTATATATTAGGGCTTGTTGGTAAAGTGGATTTTACTGTTAGGCATCTCTCTTCATCAACAACTGCATTTCCTACCTCATGGGGGCTCAACAGTGGTCAACAATGTGTTGGAAATGGTGGCCATCAGGTATTTTTCCGCTGTAATATTTTAATATTTTAAGAAAAAGTAATAAGTTTGCTGTACTCATTCTGTTTTTTGTCCTCTTTGTCTTTAACAGTGCTCTGCATACTCTGCTAGTGCTTCATCAGAGAAAACATGGACCATGCGATCAACCTTTCCAGAATATGTTGTAGCTCTTGCTACTATTGTTGGATCTGTGCTTTTTTCTGTAAGCTCATTATTCGTAAAACTTGTATATAAAACCCGCTTCAAATTTAGCCTTGGTTTAGGCTTGCTTGTATTACTTAGAAGAACATTATTATATTAGCCAATCCTACCACTCTCTTGTGGCTGTCATTTCCTCCACAAGTGCGTGTATTAACATACTGTGTTATGATATTCACTTTAGGGTATGCTACTGTGTTAATTTTCTAGATACAAAATTACTTACTGCACTCAAGACTCTTGTTATGAATTTACATAAGCCTTCCGTACCTCATTATATTATTAAGTACTAGCTTTGCTATTCATGACATTAACCATTGTTTTCTTCCTATTCAATCCAGATATTTGGTGGTGTTGGTATTGCTTGTCTTCCATTAGGACTTTTATTTTCATTTATCCGGCGGCCAAAGGCTGTTATCACTCGCTCACAGTATATCAAGGTGATATATGTTGTTACTGAAAGAGTTATATTATATTGTTGTTTATACTTCATATGTGCATTTTTAATATCATATGCCGTATTATATTTATGATGATGTGGTTGGTTGGATATTGTAGGAAGCTACTGAACTTGGTAAAAAAGCGAAAGATTTGAAGAAAGCAGCTGAGTCACTCCATCAGGAAGAAAGAGGTGGTGCAAAGGGTAGAAAGCATCGTAAAAATGTAAAAGAAGTAGAAAAGGTAAGGATATCCTTGTTGGCTGGGCATTCTTTATAATAATTTAACTTATGCTGTTTTCATAGTTTGCGTTGTGGGTCCAATCATGTGCTTAACTAACTTAATTTCCCAGGAATTGTTTCAATTGGAAGAAGATGTAAAGCTTCTTGAAGAGATGTATCCACAAGGGGAAAAGGTAGTTATTCAGATTTCTTACTTTTTAACTTCGTGGCATAGTCATTGCATAATGTTTTTCCTACTAACTGATCCTGCACGAATGCAGGCTGAGACAACATGGGCACTAACAGTTCTTGGTTATCTGGCAAAACTTGTTTTCGGAATTCTAGGGTAAGCAATGATACATAACAATGAAAGTTGCTGTGGATGCATGGTTCTTTCTAACATTATACTTAGTCTTACAAAGATGGCTTAGTTAAGGAGGTAAGTATCCCATGTAATATCTAACCCAAATTTTTAAATTTTTGGCAGGCTGATTGTTTCAGTAGCATGGATTGCTCATATCATTATCTATCTATTAATTGATCCTCCCCTTTCTCCTTTCTTGAATGAAGTTTTTATCAAGCTAGATGATGTCTGGGGTATGTTGGAAATTGGAGTGCACATTCCATATATTAGCTTTTCTACATATTACATTTCTTCATCCCAGCTATGTATAATTACTATTTGTCATGTTGCTGATTTTCATTCAGTTATTCTAGGTAATGTGTGTTGTTTTCTGTTTTATCAGGTCTGCTCGGCACAGCTGCGTTTGCATTTTTCTGCTTCTACCTTCTTCTTGCCGTGATTGCTGGTGCCACGATGCTTGGGTTGAGACTAGTATTCATCACCATACATCCCATGAAGTAATTCAACCGTGCTGTCAGTTTTATCATTTTAATTTCCGTTCTGGTCATTTAATGCTGTCAGTTTTATCATTTTAATTTCCGTTCTGGTCATTTAATGCACTTACTGATATTTCACAATGTGAACATACTTCTGGCAGGTGGGGAGCAACTCTCATGAACTCTTTTTTGTTTAATGTGGGCCTTATCCTTCTTTGTTCCATCAGGTCAGTATATTATGTACCTTCAATTTCAAATAGGATATTATGTTTATTTAATAAGCTCTCTAACTCAGCATGGTAAAATTATAATGTCATGATGCAACAGCCTTGCTGAAAGCTTTGTCTTTTTACTTTTTCAGTGTGATTCAGTTTTGCTCCACAGCATTTGCCTACTATGCTCAAGCAACTGCAGCCCAGGAAATATTTGGTCACACTTTGGAGTCTCTTCGAGGAATTAAATATTTGTACAAGTGAGTTAAGCTGGATTTCTTTCTTGTTTTTTCTGCCTACTCCCATGCACTCTTAATGGCAAAGTTGTTCCTTGTTTTGGTAACTAGTGAATTTGGATCACACATGCCCTATTATTTTTCCATCTTTCTATTCGATCAAACCCCATATTTTCAATTGAAGTTCTTTATGAAACCATGCTTCAAAACAAACATAGACAAACAATAATATTGAACACGAAGGCTGTTGTCAGACATGTACCGTAAAAATTGGCTTGACATGTTTGAATCCAAATAGAACTTATTTCTGTTATTAATTTTTTATTTATTGAGGGGTAACTAGCGTAAGTTGTCTATATGATGCTCAAGTTGGTTTAGTTTTTGACTATTATCTATTACCCTTGCTGATATTGTTTGACTTACTGTTTATCACAATACAGGTACAATGTGTTTCAAATTGCATTTGTTGTTTTGGCCGGATTGACTTTTGTGTATTATGCTGCCTTTGTAAGTTTACCTCAGAAAAAAGATCTCCCCCTTTTTTATGCTTGTTAATATTCTTGCCGTGGCTAAAAGGTTTTCTATTTAAAAATATCAGGGATGGAAAAGAAAAAAACCCAGCGGCAGGTTCCAATTGTCTTCATGAGGTGTGAGGCTTAAGCCCTCAGGAGTAGCTTCTGAAAGTAGCCATTTGGGATTTCTTGTCTCTGGTCATATCCTTCACAGTGGTTTTTATCTTTGGATATGCTTTGGCCTAGATTTGTTTCATGTTGAAAGCTATAGGGTAAGCTAATCATCATCTGAGTAGAATCATTTTCTGCACTTGACTCATTAGTTGGGTGTGTGTTTGAGCTGCAATATCGGGTCTTTGCTTCTTTTGTCGCTCTTGTATGTATCATAACTTTGTTTGGTTTGTGTTGTTCTTTCTGCTCAATATATATGTAATTAAATGTACTATTGTGTGCACGAAAGAGTACTGGATTCTCACAATACTATGCGGTTATGCAACCCTTGCCAAAGAGAAAATTGTAACATCATTTTTTATTTTATTCTATTGTCAAGTTTGTGTAATAGATTTCTAATGATAGGCAGGAACTTTTGAGCCTTTCAGAATACGTGTTACCGTTTTCAAGTCTTTTGTTCAAAATTGCTGATTACAAACTTTGTTTTTACTTGTCTCGGTTTTGCCGTAAAATTTGATATTTCTTATCTCTGTAGTTTGCTACTTCATAGCATTTTTTTATATTGCATTATGCAAATATTGGCTCTTTCAATTTTCAATTTGTTTTGTAGACTATCAATCATTTATTCATGAAGCAAGCTAGGCTCTAGTAAGGTAGTAAGAGGGATTTTGAATAAATGAATCTTCATGATTCACTTTAATTGTGATTCCATTTTCATACACCCTAGTCATGTTGAAAGATGTTGATAGGACATTATATTCAAGGTAAGTAGGCAGCCTTGCAATGTCTCTTGTTGCACACATCCTTTTCTATTGTAAGTTCTATCAAAATGGCTCAGTATATTTACGTGTTCTATTTACTAGTGTTAACAATACGTATATTCTTAGCCGAATACATTAAATAAAACCACGAGAAGTTTAAGCCTACTTGACATGAGGCTCAATTAAAGCACAAGGGTCAAATTTCAATACTCAAATGGGGAAAACAATGATAAGTAATATCATATTTCTTAAACATGCAGTATTAAGGGCTAGCCATATTTTCTTAGGCATAGGCACAACAATTTCCTTAGTTAAAGCACAAACAGAATCAAACTTCACTACCCACATGGTGAAAAACCATGGTTAAGTAATGATCACCCATTTATTTCTAAACATGTAATATATTTCCATAGGCACAACATTGAAGCATGATATCATATTATTTTTCTCTCCCACTCTACATCTAAAGGAAAAGGCACATTAGAGATATTAGAGTATCTTTAGTGAGAGTAAATTAAATGGGTAAACTAAGATACTTTTTGTGGGCCCAAAGTGATTTGTAGGATTTAAAAAATTTATAGTTGATTTGAGTAGTTTTTACTTTAACGGTGGTTGTCTATAAGAAACCAAAACTTGATTCCACATTTTATATTTTTTATTCAAGTTACCATTGATTTAATTATTTTAATTAAAATACATATAAATTTTTAAATAAAATTTATCTTAAAAACTTAAAATTAATATTAAAAATATTTTATTATAAAATTAAAAATGATACAAAATTCACAACAATAATACATAAAAAAAATTATATTTTCATAGGAATATAATTATAACAAGGATTCGATTGGTTGGGATCCATTTGATAAATAAATAAGATTGGAAATTGAAAGTAAAAAATTTAGAAGTAAAACTGTGTGTAAAAAAAATTAAAATTTTTATAGAATTTATAGAAGATAAAAAATGATAATATGACCGTTAGTATTTTCAAATATCATATTCTTGTTGGAATATTTGAAATATTTTATTAATATTATAATAGGTTTCACATAGTTAACGTTAATTATATAGATAATGGAAATAAATTTTAATTTATTTGGATGTCATGTCAGTTCTCCTAATGCAAATTCTTTATTATTAACGTAAATTATAAAAAATTTTGGTTTAACAACTCTGGTTAAAGTTGCCTTTAATAGTTAACATTCCATTAGGATGAACTGGATCATATGGAGAATCTTCTCCAAATTCAACTATTCCAGTATAGACTTGGTTCCCACTTTGCTTCTTTGATCACCTTCAATATTTATTTTCTTTGACACTAATTTTCCCTCAGGCGAGAAATGAACTCCATCACTAAAATAATGAAATCTCAATCTTCTGACCAATTGCTGTCCCACCCTACTGAAAGATCAAAGTTACTCTTGAAACTAGATAGGGACTGAAATGAATATTTTAAGTAGTATTATAAAATATAGATTTTAATTTTGTTTATTACAAAATTTTTGCATGTGTCATGATAATGTGGCACAAATAATTTAAAAAAGTTTGCATCTGACGTGATATAATCCGTTTTAGATTTAATATATTATTTAGATAATAGTTTTTTTTAATGATTTAAATTTTTTTTTCAATTTTTGTGTTTAGATTCGCAAATCTGTCTCGGTGAGGAGTTGAACTTGTGACTTTCAATAGAGAATAAATATTGCATTTTTTAAATCTTTGCAAGGAGTTGAATTTGTGACCTTTAATAGAGAATAACAATTGCATTTGACTTTTCGAAAATGAGTTTAGGAAGGTGTCACATAGGACAATCAGATGATGTGGCACAAATGAATTAGAAAAGTTTGCATGTGTCGTGATATAATCCGTTGATTTAGATTTAATATATTATGTAGATTCATATGTATATTTTTAGACACATCTCATTCATACACAATTCATTCGTTATTGAACCAAACCCTAATTCTATGACAAAATTTAATTCGAAAATACCTCTCCGTATACCTTACGGAAGTGTATTTATGGAATCCATTGAACCATAAACAGATGTTGAAATAGAGATAAATTAACATCGATAATTGTTATGACATACATGAAAAATGAAACATTACATTGATAATCGTTAACGTAAATCGAATAGTACATTTCATCATCAAGTATAAACGTTTCAACATCTTCAGAATATCTTCAGTCGATCTCGTAATCTTCGCATCCAGCTCAATCAAACATTTTGAGTCATAATAAAATATACTCTAAGTAGCCATTAAATCTTCATCCAGCTCAAACTTGCTGAACTGAATCTTTCCTTCTTTGTCAATCGAGAGGGTGAACGGTACTCGAGTTTCACAACTCTTTGATTATTTGAAAATTGTAGAAGATTCTCCAGTATGAATTTTAGATCTACAATAGAGGTGTACTTTGTGATTCTAAATTCAAGTGTGACATTCATGTTGTTGAAGTAAACAAATGCGACATCTCAATATATGCTCATTCTGGTTTGAAGTGATTTTGTTAAAAAGATGAGACGAGAGACCCTGCCCATTATTGAAGCTAAACTCACAACTGCAACTCATTATGTGTGTGTGTGTGTCGAGTAGACATGACAACATAATCCGTATTTGTGGAGACTTTTCGGAACCTACCTCGAATTTGATGGAAAAATTTATTTTGACTAGGGATGACAATTTGACCCATCCCCATAGGATACCCGCAAAAATTATCCACAACTGATAGGGTAAAAACCCGCAAAATAGACATGGGCATGTGCACGAGCAATTACCCACTAAAATATGCGGACATGGGCGCGGGTACAGTCACCTTAGTACCTATACCCGCACTATATATATTTATATATTTTTATTTTTATTTTTATAAACACATGTTTGTTTATCAATTTAAATTGAATACATCTATATTAAACTTGTACGCATTCTAATGTAAGTGTTTGTTTATTTCTTAACTTAACAATAATATCCTTGATTTTTTTTTTTAAAATTTTGCCAAAATCTTAAAATGACATGATAAAGTATAAATAATCGATAATATGTTATTAGAAATGCGGATAAATGAGTACATGTATGGGTATTTAGCTACTCATAGGGCACAAACACTGATACAAATGTTGGCGCCCACACAGATATGGGCTCGGGTACGAGGATTTTTTAAAATTGTGAGTATGGAGACGAGTACTATAGTACCCTAACCAAACCCTATCCATTGTCATCCCTAGTTTTGATTGACTTTGGGTTTGAGTTTGAGTTTGGATTTCCCGGATAACAAAATATGGGAACAAGTCGGGTAATGAGAACACTAGTACTCACCCCGAAGACGCACCCGAACATGCAACGTTTATTTTATTATTTAATTTTATTATTTAGTTTTGATGATATAAAATATTAAATTTATGATTAATGCTTTGATATTTTTGATTTGTACTTTATTATTTAAAATATTTGAAATGTATGTATAAATTTTTTTTGAGATTATTTTATTTTTATTATTTATAATGTAATTTGAGATCGAAAAAAGAAATATTTTTATTTAAAAATTAATTATATTACTTGCATGATGGCGGAGCAGTAATACCCAAATCTATCTCGAACCCGTTTGAGTTTTTGTTTTTCATTTCCGTTAGAAATCGAGGTGGGGAACAAGAATAGTTTCAAAAAATTGAGTTTGAGCATGAGGGAGATGAAATTCCATCTCTATCTCGCTCCGTTGCCAATCTTAGTGTCAAGACACATGGTTGCACAAAATTCTATATTTAAAAAACACTAAACATAAAAATGTTTCCAGTTTTAATAATTCGAAGATGAAATAGTACCTTCTGAGAATATAAGTGAGAAAGAGTAATTCCCCAACCCTCATAATAAACTGAAGGGGATTTTCTTATCCCATCTTATAAGGTGAAAAATAACTTATGAAAAATTTAAAATGTCCTTTAGATTCCGAAGATGCATCTTTAGACGCACCTTTATCTTAAGTCAAAACGTTACAATTGATCTGGAGATGCATCTCCAAAATACTTCAAAACACATCTCATGGATCCCATTGAGGCATACCAATATATTTTGTAAACACAGATTCGGAGATGCATCTCTGAGATATTTCAAAATACACCTCATGCATTCCTCTTTGAAAGACTCATTTAAAGCATTTTATTGACCCAAAGATACATCTTTGTTTAGGGTTTACGGAGATGC